TGCTTCTAAAGTACTCCGTAGGATTCACATTATAGTTTTGGCTCCCAGTCAAGTTTGGGTCCCTATTTACAATGTGAAGAACTATATACAAAACTTGAAAACTAGGAAAAAATCGACTGGGAGCCAAAACAATAATGTGAATCCTAAGGGGTCTCATCCTTTAGAAGCATTATTAAGGTGTCCAAAAACAAAAAAGATTCCCTAAAAGGAATCAAAAGTAACGGATTACGCAATAATTATCTAATTTCGCCCTCTTTCTTGTCTACATCTCTCAGTGGAAGAAGAATCGTTCATTACACCCAAAGGAGAGGTGATGGTTCTTTTTAGTGATAGTGGGGTTTTTCGATAGGTAAATGCATTGGGATGAGTGTGTATACAACTATATATATACCTATACATATAAGTATATATATATAGTTTATAGGAGAGGATGAGGATCGGGAGCAGAAACGTCGAGGTAAAAGGGAGAGGCGAAGAGGAAGAGGAGGTGACGGGCTCTCACGTTACCTTCGGTGCGGCCAGGTGTCAGGTTACCCTCGACCTCATCTTCCTCCTTGCCTTCGCGAGTGTGCCACCATCAGCATCGTCCTCGTCCGCCCGTCCATCTGTCTGTTCCCTATTCGTCTCCTCTCTGTCCCTCTTTCTCTATCTTTATCTCTCTTTTTCTTTTCCTCTCTCTCCTTCTCTATCTATATCTCTCTTTTTCTTTCTCTCTCTCTCGCTCTCCCTCTGTCCTTTTTCTTGCATCCACTATCAACCTCAGACTTGTTTCTTCGTCACTGTCTGTTCCTCTTTTTGAATTATCTTTTTTGCAGAAGCAACGAAAGGCGGAAAGAAAGCGAACAAAGTCGCGCACTACTTCCTTCGTCGTAGTGAAACACGACTTCATTAAAAATAATCTTCTACTGCCTTGTCAAATTAGAAAACACAACTTTTATTATTTCAAAATAAATTCCCAACGTACAGGAATGTGCCAACATAGTTTTTCAAAAGTGTTGGTTGTAACTTACACTAATTCATGATTGATTTACCACTATTCATTCAGTACTAATTGCTTACTATACTTCTAGAATCCTTCTAAATAATCCATTAAGGGCCAGTATCACCAACTCCGATTAAAAGTTAAATGATTAAAGTCACTTTAACCGCCCATGATTGGTCGGTGAAGGATTTAATCATTGATTAACTTTTAATCGGAGTTGGTGAAACTGTCCCTTAACAATATTATTGCATTTTTTCATTATTTATAAAAATAATTAAATGAGACCCAAATTGCAGAAAAATTTTCTTCCCTAGGAAAGTTTGCAAAAAACAGTATTCAACAATTCTTTCGTATATAAGCGGAAGAAACTTTGCTACCGGAAGAAATTTGTTTTTAACTCTACTATATATAGTTATACCTTTTGTATTTACATATAATAGATAATAAAAAGATATGAACGTATACATAAGTAATGAATACTATTTTAGTCAGACAAAGACGCAAGAAATGCAGTGTGTACGATGAATTTTGAAGGGCAATCAATTTGAGGTCGAGAAAAGAAGGTTGAATTTCGAGAAGCGCATGCAATTCTCAGTAGCGGTTAAGCAGAAGCAACGAGGGTGGTAAACCATGTCTGTGATGATAGAAGACGTGATTGTAAAGGTGCTTCTAAACGTACATATCTATAAAAATATGAGATTGCACATGTGTGTACACATATATATATTATAAGCTGCAAGGTATACCTATACATACACAAAAAAAAGGGAGGCAAGAACTCTGGCAGACGGCAAAAGAAATATACATAATGAGTCGTGCCAAGAGACTCTGCGACTCGTTTAATCAAACTTTGGGATGCGTGCTGCCCGGACTAACTACGTCCAATCATGCTAACCCACCTTGTTTCAATTCACCCCGTCTCACACTATCTAGAAAATTTTAAATTCTTATTCACTTTGCTATTCTTTTCTTGTTTCACGAATTTTCAATCTTTTAGGCCGTAAAAAAATTCAAAAGTGATTTTACATAAAAAGGCATGGTGACCGCACTTTAGAGCCAGGATGACATTTTTTAAAAGTTATCAAAAGATTGTATAACAATTTTGTTAGGGTGGTCACTTTGGGGCCCTCTATCCTAATATGTTAAAAAAAATTGATTCACGAAATTTATATTCTTTCGAATTCTAATTAAAAATCATTCAAATTTAGTAGAATTCATGTAGAAATTCTATGGAATATTCACTAGAATTCATATTATATAGAATGATTCTAGTAAAATTCTATAGAACTTTTTCAGCTGATGGGCAAAAAGAAGGAAAGATGGAGAAAGAAAGAGAGACTCGAGAGAAAAAAGGAGAAAGGTTTTATAATGTTTAACGTGTCGATGGTTCCTTTTACGTAAGGGCATATACAGATGCGGGCGCTGCACTGTTGGCGGTGCAGTGACTTAGAAGGACGTCTAATCTGAACAAATTAGTGGGGTCTACCTGTGTTCATACTTGAAAACGTGGGTGTACAGGCCCCTCAAGGGTCGACCAATAACTAACTCGACCAACACGCACGCACACAAGTTGGCGAGTTGTGCGCACACGTGACACGCACGCAGGGTTTTTATTTTTATTTTCTCCTTTTTTGATGCGTGTGGGTGTCACAGGGTGGCCACCTGTCTAGCAAGGTATGCGACGATAGCATCAACCGAGGAACGGACGCCCCGCGTTAAGCAAAGACAAGGGCGGTAACTCACCCCGGACAAATTATAGAGTGGCCAGACAGCGCGATTCTCCTCTCTTTTCCTGATTTTTTTTTTATTATATCTTCCTCTAACTCCAAGTTTTTCTCTCTCTCTCTCTTAGTTTAAGAGGGAGCTCCCTTGCATCTCGATCTCTTGATCTTTACACCTCTCAAATCGTCTCCACATATCAAGTAATGGCGAATGTTTCTTATTTAAATTTAGTGTATTAATATGTTAAACATGACGTGTGGTCTGCTATATGGGGGGTTGACATTATTTCTGACTGGAGCATATTTATCTTCATGTGGTATTAAGGGCTCGAACTAGACCCGTAAATCAGACCATCAAAATTTCGTAAAAAAGAAAATATAAACTTTATTCTTTCAAATTTAATAATTCCAATCAGAAAATCACCACAGTTCTAGTAGGGACTAAGCCCTACTCAATCTTAAACAATAGAGAATTTTATTTCAATTTTTTAGTAGTAGCACCACCACCCGAACGCTATCAGACAATCAAAAATTGCTAAAAACAAAGATAAAAATTTATTTCTTCCAAATTTAATGATTCTAATAATCTGGAAATTACCTGAGTTCTAGTAGGGACTGAGCCCTACTCAATCTTAAAGAAAAGAGAATTTTATTTCAATTTTTTAGTAGTCGCACCTTCACCCGAATGCCATCAGACAATCAAAAATTGCTAAAAACAAAGATAAAAATTTATTTCTTCCAAATTTAATGATTCTAATAATCCGGAAATTACCTGAGTTCTAGTAGGGACTGAGCCCTACTCAATCTTAAAGAAAAGAGAATTTTATTTCAATTTTTTAGTAGTAGCACCACCACCCGAACGCTATCAGACAATCAAAATTAATTCCTATTGAAAAATAATATAATGATAAAATATTTATTTGAAATTAAACCATTGATGATTAATCGACTTCATATTCTATAGAAGGAACTGAAATAAATATAAAAGCCCGACAACATTTACATAAAATTTTCCAGATTTTAGATATGTATCGACATACTACTATTATTTATTTTCGTTTCGAAAAAAAAGTATTTCCTTCGCGGAATTTTCAAAGTTCCGTTGAAACAAAAATGAAAATTAAACGAAACATGAAAAACAAATCCGATTAATTCGATTTAAACAAAACTGATCTAATTTCCGAACTAAATTATATTTCACCTGTATACAATCAGTCCGGAATAAGTTTATTCGATCCACTTTATAAAATAAACAGACAGAGAGATAATTTACAATAATTTAATCCCTAATTCCGATTTCAATTTCCCCAATACAAAAATAATTTTAAAAAAATAAATTCATAAAACAATTGCGTCAGATATTTGCAAATTCGAATAAATATATCGAACGATTAATTAAATCGTAATATTTTCCTAATTTAATGAAAGTAATGATAGAAAAAAAGGAAAAAATTCACATTTCTCTAAATATATAAACTTTATGCAAGCACAGAAGCTCATCGTCTGTGTATTTGCGATAGAAATCGTGTGTGAGTATTGGTTTTCCTATAATACATATATAGTGATGTGTACAAACATATCAAATTTCCGCAAAGCAACGCCTATATTGGTTTCGAATAGCGACGAACAAACGGCATCGTTAGAATCGTCTCCGATATTTGTTAGTTGCATATCACCACGTGTTTCGACAAATAAAATAAATTACACTGCGAAATTCTATGACACACATTTCAAAGTCGCAAGCTCAATTCACTGGAACTAAAATATATATCTCAATAAACAAGATAACATAACCCTGTATGACAATGAATGCAATATCCGCAAGAATACGAATCGAAATCAAATAAAAAATAATGTAGTATTTTGAATAATTTTAATTGAAAATTTTGAAAATAATTGAGTTAAACGAAGAATTTCTTTCAAGACTTTACAATAATCGTGTCTGTTAATAATTATAATTAAAAATTTGGTTATTGAATTTTTTAAAACTTATCTTAGAAATAATTGAATTCCTGCGAAGAATTTTATTTTAAATTTATGAAAATAATAAACAATAATAATTAATTATGTATCATAAAGAACAAAAATAGTAATTAAAAATATTATGAATTCAATTAAATTTTCATTACAATAATAATTATTTAATTAAATTTTGCATTATTATAAATAATAATAAAAATGATTTAATTCAAAAATTCATAAATCAAAAATAAAATGTATAGATTATTCATTGTTTCTTGTATCCGAGCAACAACGATCTTCAACTGTTTGTTGTGACAGCATTTTTTTTTAATTCACTCTCAGAATGTCGTGTCGTTAGCAAAATTTTCTACATTTCTTTTTTTCTAAATAAAAATTTTTTTTATATGATTTAAATTCAGGAATCTCCTGTTAATTCAAAATTTCCAGTATAATTTTCACTTAATTCAAAAATTTCATTTTTCAAATCCCCCAAAAAAATGGCAAAATTAAACAGATTCAAAGCTTTGGTTCTTCAAGATTTAACACAATTGATACCGAAAAAGCAAATCCAGGTAAATGGAATAATAATTGTCATAATTATTTTAATATCATAAAGAAAATTTAATATTCTAAATTTGTAAATTAGTAAATACCAATATCTAAAATTTAATACTTTAATAAAAAATAATAATTACACTTTTGACATTTATCAAAGTTACAAAAAACAATTTTTATTATTTAATAAATTTTTAAAATATTTCTTTATTATTATTTTTATTTCTATTATTATTATATTATTAACACAAAATCTAATTAAAATCATCTTAATTTTATAGTATCATTAACGTTAATAATATTTATATTCTTATTATTATTTATTATAATTATAATAATTTATTTTTATTTATTTATTATAATATTTTTTATGTATACTTAAATTTTATTCAACTGTCAGGAAAAATTTAAATAATTTAAATAATTAAAGAATTAAAGAATAATTTAAATAATTTTCAAAGTCGGAAAAAATTGAAAAACAAAACTTTCTTTTGAAAACTAATTTTCTAGTTGACAAATGAAATTAAAAATTCAGACAAAAAATAATTAATTTGTTTATTTATATTTCCTCTCACATCCTATATAGAATGAAAGCATTGCGTGTTTTCATAATGCGGCCCCAACGTGGAGATTTTGGAGTTTCCTGGAGTTTTCCAAAAGGGATGGACAATATTTAAATAGGACAAAAGAAAACGAAACTTATGATGATAATGTCAATTTTCCGGAGAAGTTATTGGCATTTCCTCGGACACAAATGTTCCAATCGGCATTTGGTAAAAATGAAACATCAGTTCAAGATTCCTCGCCATTCAATGTTAATCTCAAGAATTTAAAAACCAAAGCTCTTTCAAATTTAGGTAAAATATTTTTTCAAGAAATCTTTAACAAACAAATTCAAAAAACAATTATTATGTTTATAATAATAATAATAATAATATAACTTTTCACTACAATTTTTTTTGTAAAAATTAATTGTTTTTTGTATAATTTAATATATTTAATAATGTATCTTCCATTTTTAATTTCAATTTTTTTATTTCAATTTTTTATTCCAATTTTCAAATTTCAATTTCCTATTTCAATTTCCTATTTCAATTTTTAAATTTCAATTTTCTAATTCCAATTTTCTAATTCCAATTTTCTAATATCAATTTTTAAATTTCAATTTCCTAATTTCAATTTTCTAATTAAAATTTTATTATTGAATTTAAAATTAAAAAAAAAGTAAAGAAAAAAAGCAGAATCAAAGAAAAATCAAAGAAAAATGAGTTAAAAATAAAACAAACTATAAAAAAATAATAAAATACAAATAAAGTGAAATAATTTTAATAATTACATAATTTAATGTAAAATAATATTTAATATATTTAAAAATATTACAATGAAAAAAAAATATTATTGAAATAATAGTATTCATGCTATTTTATTAATTCAATTAATAATTTAATCAAAAAAATAACAATAACAACCAATAATTATAAAAATACATTTTTTACGAAACATTTTCTGAAAATATTTATTTTAATTTCAAAAATTAATAATTAATGCAGAGTGTTCTGATTCTGGACCAACATCGAAAGCAGCCTACAAATTTTCACCTTCAAAAAGTCTAACAAGAATTTTTACGAGCAAACAAAATTCGAACACTGCATTACCATTGCCAATGGATGCCACTCGACTGCAAAGATCAAAATCATTTTCCAATCAAATTGTTTCGAGATTATCGTCGGGAATTGCAAAAACAAGACGTGAAATTGGTCTAAGTATGAACATTTTTTTTTTTTTTTGCAAAATAAAAAGAAACAAAAAGAGCAATCACAATTGAAAAATTTTAATTATAAAATTAATTTTATTATTTGCTAACGATTTTATTATTGGTAGCAAAATAATTTAATCCCTAAATCTGAATTACTTCACGAATTAATAAAAACTTGAAACAATTTTTTAAAAAAAAATCCGCAATTAAACTTTCTCAAAAAAAATTAATTCCACAGAATTTTTAGTTAAAAATATGAAAAATTCAGATTTTCAAACATTTTAATTTTTGAAACCTTTTCAAAATTCAATTATTTCTAAAAATTCACGATATAATGATTTTAACATTCAATTCAATATTCATTTTCTGAGAAATTCAATTATAAAATTGTATCAAAAATAATTGAAATTCTGCGATAATTTTCTAATGAAAATTGAATTGAAAATGTTAAATCAATTTTTATTAGAAAATTCTAGAAGAATTCAATTATTTAATTACAAAAATAAATAAATTATTGAATAATTAAATGTTTCTGAAAATTTAATTTTCGTAAAAAATTTTATCAACAAATTTTTAAATAATTCAATTCCTTCGACTAATTTTAATTAAAATTTTTAATAATAATTACATTTTTCGACGCATTCGATTAAATTTGTACTAAAAATAATTGAAATTCTGAGATGAGTTTTATTAATTATGAATATAATTGAAATCCTAAAAAGAATTTTATTGTATATGAAAATAATTGAATTGCTGTAAAAAAATTTTACTATTTATGAAAATATTTGAATTATTTTAAAGAATTTATTACAGTTTTAGAAAATAATTAAATTCTTTCGAGAAATTTTATTAAAAATTCAAAAAATATAATTGAATCCTTTCGTGAAATTTTATTAAAATTGTATTGAAAATAATTGAATTTTTGCAAATAATTTTACTATTTATAAAAATAATTTAATTCTGCCCAAGATTTTGACTATAAAATTTTGTATATAATTGAATTCCTCAGAAGAATATTATTTTTTACGAAAATAATAATTGAATTCTTTCGATGAATTTTATTATAATTTTTCAAATTATTTTAATTGTTTGGAAGAGTTTGTTTTTTATAATTGAATTTTATGAAGAATTTTTTTTACCGTTTTTCAAATAATCGTGTTTGTTTATAATTAAAAAACATTTAATTATGGAATTTTACTAAAATTTTTAGAAAATAATTAAATTCTTTCCAGAATTTTATTACAATTTTTAGAATAATTTAATTCATTCCATTAGGAATTTTATTAGAATATTGAAAATAATTGAATTTTTTCCAAGAAAATTATTAAAGATTTTGCCAATAATTGAACTTATACAAAAAATTTCTTTAATTTTTTAAATAATCGATTTTTTTTAATAACTGTAATCAATATAATTTTATTTAAATATAATTTTATTTAAATTCTTTTCAAATTTTTTTTCAGTTTTAAAAATAATGTAGTTTTTTGAATAATTTTAATTGAAAATTTTGAAAATAATTGAGGTAAACAAAGAATTTTTTTCAACATTTTACAATAATCGTGTCTGTTAATAAATATAATTAAAAATTTGGTTATTCAGTTTGATTAAAATTGTATTAAAAAAAAATTGAATTCCTATGAAACTATTATTATTTATAAAATTAATTAAATCTTTGCGTAGAATTTTATTAAAATTTTTTTAAATAATTTAATTCTTTAGGAAAATTTTATTTAAATAGTAGATATTGAAAATCATTGAATTAAGAAAAATTTTGGAATATAATTGAAGTTTTGCCAAGAATTTTATTAAAATTTTTGAAAATAATTGAATTTCGGAGAAGAATTTTATTATTTATATAAAGATAATTGAATTTTTGTGAAGAAATTTATTATTTTTGAAAATAATTGAATTTTTGTGAAGAAATTTATTATTTTTGAAAATAATTGAATTTTTGTGAAGAAATTTATTATTTTTGAAAAAAATTGATTTTTTTTGAAGAAATTTATTATTTTTGAAAATAATTTAATTTTTGTGAAGAAGTTTATTATTTTTGAAAATAATTGTATTTATGCAATCAATTGTAATTTCTGCAATTTTTATTTTTTTTTATAAAAATTGTGAACGCAACTCTTTAAAAAATCAATTGTTTATTTATTTTTTTTTATTAATAATTACCTTGAATATTCTCTATTTCTCTTTTCTAATAATAATTTCTCTCTTTAAATAACTAAATTCTTGAAGAACTACCATAAAATTATTACTTTATAAATAATTTAATGAATAATTTTAATTCAATATTTCAAAATTAATTGATTTTTTAAAGAGTTGCGTTCACAATTTTTACAAAAAAAATAAAAATTGCAGAAATAATTGGCAATTTGATAGTTTATGAGGCAAACAAAAAAGACAAAAAAATCCAGAATTTTCTTATGAATTCTAAAAATTTAATTTTTTCCAGTACTTTTAATAAAAATTCTTAACTTTTCCCTGAATTTCTTCTAATATTAATTTTTTCTTAGTATATAAATAAAGAAGAAATAAATAAATAAATAAAAATTGCAGGCATGTCGAAACCGGGACTATCCAAACCATCGATTCAAATAGCGAACATGTCATCAGGCAGCAATGGAAAGCGAAGTAGTCGTCAACGAAAGAAATCGAAAAACAATAAAAGTGAATCGCAAGAATGTCCAGGGGCATGTCCACCACCGCCACCACCACCCCCATGCTGTCCTCCACCACCACCTTCATGCTGTCCACCGCCACCATGCTGTGAACCACCCTCGCCACCAAAGAAAAATCGCCGCGAAAAAAGACCAAAAAGCAAAAAATCATCCAGCGAATGTCCACCACCACCACCTGAGCCATGTGCCGAAATGGAAGCACCACCACCGCCAAAAGAATGCGACTCCTGGTGTCCAGTGCAAGATAAGGGCAATTGCTATAAATCGAAATGTCCCGAGAAGAAGAAGAGACCCTGCCCACCAATAAAACCCTGTCCGCCAAGGTGTTTCGAGCCGGATCCATGCGAGGTACCAAAGGCATTTTGCGTTGGATGTCCATCGAGCAAGAAAAAAAAATCAAATGATCGCGATTTTTCCACTTGGACTAATTTTTCTGCTGTTGCACCTTTCGCCTCAAGGTAAAAACCACCAACGAATTTGTTCAATTTTTTTATAATTAATAAAAATAATTATTATTTTAATTGTTTTTTTATTAATAATTATTATTAATACTCTCTAAATTCGAATTAGCAAAAATATTTACTATTTTAAATTAGTGACTCCCTTTTTGCTTTGGAATTAGTAAATTTTACTAATTAATTAGCAGAAATTACTATTTTGTATTTATAAGTAAAATTTTACAAATAAATTAGCAGAAATTACTATTTGTATTCTTAAGTAAAATTTACTAATTTAATTTATTTTCTTTCAATTAAAGTAGTATTCACGATTTATAATAAAATTTTTTAAATTAATTGAATTCATTGGAGAAATTTTATAAAATCATTAAACTTCCACGAAGAATTTTATTATTTATGCAAAAAATTGAATTTCTGACAAGAATTTTATTGAAATTTTTGAAAATAATTGAATTCCTGCGAAGAATTTTATTATTTATGAAATAATTGAATTTCTACGAAGAATTTTATTATTTCCGAAAATAATTGAATTCCTTATAATTTTATTATTTTTACAAATAATTGAACTCCTGCGAAGATTGTTATGTAAAAATTAAATTAAAAATAATTGAATTTATCCGTAGAATTTTATTATTTTCAAAATTAATTGAATTTCTAACAAGATTTTATTGGAATTTTTGAAAATATAATTGAATTCCTCTGAATAATTTTATTATTTTTGAAAATAATTGAAATTTATTCCTTTGAATAATTTTATTATTTTTGAAAATAATTGAATTTTATTCCTTTGAATAATTTTATTATTTTTGAAAATAATTGAATTCCTGCAAAGATTGTTATATGTAAAAATGAAATTAAAAATAATTGAATTCGTGTGAAGAATTTTAATATTTACGAATTAATTTGAATTCTACTAAGACATTTTACTAAAATTATTGAAAATAATTAAATTCCTGCGAAGAATTTTATTATTTATATATAAAATAATTGAATTTCTACGAAGAATTTTTATTATTTCCGAAAATAATTGAATTTCTAACAAGAATTTATTGGAATTTTTGAAAATAATTGAATTCCTACGAAGATTTTTATTAAAATTAAATTAAAAATCATTAAATTCTTGGAAAGAATCTTATCAAAAAATTTGAAAAGAATAATTCAATTCCTTCCCAAGAATTTTTTTATTTATTAAAATAATTGAATTCTCGCGAAGAATTTTATTTAAATTTTTTTAAAATCCTAATTAAATCCTACTTTTGTAGAATTTCTTTGAATTTTTTTAAAATAATGGAGTTTCTTTAATAATTTTATTTGAAAATTTTGAAAGCAATTGAATTTTATGAAGAAGAATTTTATTAAAATTTTATTGAAAATACATTGTATTATTCTTTAAGAAAAATAATTTAACTCTTGCGAAGAATTTTACTATTTATAAAAATAATTGAATTGTTCCGAAGAATTTATTATAATTTTAGAAAATAAATGAATTTTGTGTTAATATTTGAAAATTTAAATTCTTACGAGGAATTCTATTAAAGCTGTTTTGAAAAGATTTGAATTTCTTCAAGAATTTTACTATTTATAAAAATAATTGAATTGTGTTTCGAAGGATTTATTAATATTGTAGAAAATAATTGAATTTATTCGAAATGTATTAAAATTTTTTTAAAATTGAATTCTTAAATTGAATTCTTCCAAGGAATTCAATTAAAATTGTTTTAAAAATAATTGAATTTCTGCAAAGAGTTTTACTATTTATAAAAATAATTGAATTGTTTCGAAGGATTCATTAAAATTTTAGAAAATAATTGAATTCTTTTGAAAAATTGTTGAAATTTGTTAAAATGTTAAAATTTTGTTTAAAATAATTGAATTTTTGCAAAAAATTTTATTATATTTATAAAAATAATTGGATTTTTTCGAGGAATGTTATTATTTATATAAAAATAAAATTTAACTCTTGCGAAGAATTATATTAAACCTTTTGAGAATATAAACAATAATAATCAATTTTGTACTTATTAAGTGAATTTTTTAAATTTCGATCATGAGATTATTTAAAAATTTATATTTGAAAATAAAAAATTTTGTAATTTGCACAACAATAACAAATGGAACTAAAAAGTCAGTCACTAATTCAAATTAATAAACATTTTTATTAATTCAAATTTAGAGAGCAATTTATTAATATTAAAAAACCGTAAATAAATAAATAAATAAATCATTGATATTTAATAATGAATACATTATTAAATTATTTAATAAGCATTTATTTGTTAAATTATTTATAATAAAAATATAATAAAAAAATATTAGATAAAATGATAAAAAGACTGTTGATAATAAATAAATAAATAAACAAAGAAAAAATAGAAAATTATAAAATAAAAATTATGGAAATCAAACTAAAGGGAATTTAGTTTATTAATTTTGTTTAAATGTTTAAATGTTTAAATATTATAAATAAAATAAATAAATTTAATTGATAAATAAAATAGTATAAAAAATCGAGGAAAGAATTAAATGATAGAAATTTAAATTAAACAGAATGATGAAAAATTCTAAAATAGAAAATAACGAAAGCAATAAGAATTTAAAAATAAAGTAAAAAATAATGACGAAAAATAAAATAAAGAAAAATCAAGAAAATTGAGTAAAAAAAATTTGTAATTTTCTAAAAGAACTTTCGCTCTTGCAGATCTTTCACAAGCGACAGATGTGTCAAGGCAAATCCAGAGGAGGAAACAATTGAGGAAAGATTCAATAAAAGATTTCCCAAACCTGGTCCAGCTTGCAATGACGCAAAAGATGACATTTCTAAATGTAATTCTACAACCATAAAAGTATGATATCACCTTCTTAGTGCCTTCGAAAAAAAACTCCGAATCGAAAAAAAATCCAAACATCCATAATTTTATATAAAAAATGTTTAAAAAAAAAATTAAATAAACACAGAATTCAATTTTTACCATATATACCAACAAAAAATATATATTTAGCCAGGAAATGACAACAATCCAATTTCCTCATGTGCAAAAAATGATAAACAATTAATTCAAAATCTAATTCGAAAAGAATTTGACGATGTTAAAAAGTGCAAAGAAAATATTAGAGATATAAAAAAAGGAAATAATTCTAAAACTAAAAAAGCGCACAAAATTATAAATAACAATAATGGAAATGAAAAATGCCAAGCAGCAGCACCAATAACTTCGTCTCATAGAACATTTTTCACATTATTTTCCAAACAAGAACAACATTCACAGAAACAGCAAGATAAATCGAAAACATCGGAAAAAATTAATAATCATTTATCAGTTGTGGCGAATAAAATTATTTCCGACGATGCAAATAATAATTTGAAAAAATCAATGAACAAGGAAGTTGGTGATTTCGCTGAAAATTTAACATCCAGGGGGGGTACGATTAAGGAAATGGAAACACGCAATTGGTTCACTTCTTGGTTACCTTAAAATGGAAATTTTAATCAACGTCGAAAAATAATATGTAAAAATCTATTACAAAATCGCGAATTTATTCAGATTATATTTGATGAAGAAGTACGAAATAAAGAAACGAAAATTTTCAGAAATTTCTAATTGTTTCCATTATCAATAAAAGAAAAAAACCTTTGAGGAATATCCAAAACTAATATATTAAAAATTTTTTATCGAATTTCGTAAAAAAAAAAGAAAATTAATCTTATTAATTAATTATTAATTTATTTATATTTATTTAAATTTAATTTTAATTTATTACCCAATTTATTTATTAACAATTATATATTAATTATGCTTAATATTTATAATTTATTAATTAAATTAAACAAAACTGGTAAATTTAATTTCTTATTATTATTTACTATTTTTTAAAATATTAATAAAATTCTTCGAAACAATTCAATTATTTTCATAAATAATAAAATTCTTTGGAAAATTCATTTTGTTTCAATAATACATTTTAAATAAAATTCCTTTAAAGAATTCATTTTTTAAAAATTTTTATAAAATTCATTATTTGAAGAATTCAGTTATTTTCAAAATTTTTGATTCAATTATTTCTAACAATTTAATTAATTTCAATACAGTTTTAACTAAATTCCTTAAAAGAATTTGAATTTTCTTCCATACAATATTAAATTATTAACAAAAATTTTAATAAAATTTTTCGAAATTTCAATTATTTTCATAAATTATAATATAATTCTTCGGAGGAATTTAATTATTTTTAATACAATTACAATAACCTTGATACGATTCAATTATTATTTCTAACAGTTTTAAAAAATTTTCTAGAAAAATTTCAATTATTTTTAAAAATTTTGACAAAATTCTTTATAATAGATTAATTCAATTATTTTCAATGGAATTTTAATGAAATTTGTCTAAGAATTCAATTATTTTCAAAAATATTAATAAAATTCTTGGTAATATTTCAATTATTTTTGTAATAAATAAAAAAATTCTTCGAAAGAATTCAAAGATTTTTAATACGATTTTAATAAAATTGCTTGAAAGAATTTTAATTAGTATTTTTACATTTGAATTATCTTATTATTATTTATTTTTTTCGTAAACAATAAAGTGCTTCGAAAATATATTTTTAATTAAATTTCTTGAAAGTTTAAATTATTCTTAAAAATTTTACTGCAATTCTTAAATTAAGAATTCAATTATTTTCGAAAATATTAAAATTATTTGTATAGGAATTCAATTATTTTCAATACAATTTTAATAAAATTCTAAATATTATTACAATTTTTATTAAATTTCTCGAAAGATTATAATTATTTTCAAAAGTTTTCAATAAAATTCTTTACAAAAATTATGTAAAAATGCTTTTCAAGAATTAAATTATTTCAGATTCAAAATTATAAAAGTTAAAAAAATTTGGATAACTTTAAAAAAAATACAGTTTTAAAGTAAGAAATAATCCACTTATTAACGCAAGATTAACGAAAACAAAAACATAACTTCAAACTGCGAACAGACTACCGGAATACTTCTAAAAATATTATTTTAAAATTTACTAAACCACCAAAAGCCAAAAAAAAATAAATAAAAAGTAAAAGTTTTATTAAAGTTATTTATGTTTGGGCATTAATGCCCCTAAAGAAATAAAAAATTAAAAACCGCAAAATGTAAAATTTGCTCTAAGTTCGGAAAAAATTATTTTTCAAAAAAAGAAAAACTTGCGTAATTGGAATTATTTTATTCTTGTCGAAAAATAAGGAAATTGTGGTAAATTAGTTGAATTCCAGTAGCGGTTGTTATACGCAGATAAACTTATAATCTATGTTATTATTTCTTTTGATATTGCTCGCGAGAATATGAATGGTGTTCCATGGTGCGCGCAATTAGGAAGTATATTCAGAAACGCCATATGGGGTCTTTGGGACAAATATTTTCTACTATACCTATATATAAACCATACCTGGCGCCTCTTGCCAGTCAAAAATTTAGAGCCCCAGCAAACAAGGAGCGATATTTTTTCAATGGGCATCAGAATGCTTCGCTACTTATGGGAACGTACTTCGGACTGCTCTCTTTTGCTCATTTTTTACATTATACAATACACCCAAAAAATCACGTTATAATTCGCGAACAAAAAAAAAATAATAAACAATTTAATAATAAAAAAAAAAAAAACAAGAAATCTCTTTCTCATTTCGGATAATTAATACACAATTATTTTTTTAACGTTAATTTACAGGAATATTTTTTTACCTATTTACTAGCAACAATTCTTACTAACTTCTTACTACCTTTTTTTTAAATAAAATTAGAAATTTTAAAAATAATAGAATTAAAAAAATTTTCTAATTTAAATTTTTGTTGAAAACACTAAAAAAAATTCAATTTTGGAGAAATTACAAATAATTGCAGAAATTCAATTATTTTCTCAAAAAAAAATAAAATTCTTATAAAATTTAACTAGGTATGTTCGAAGTTTGAAAAAAAATTCTCGTAAAAATCCCAATTATCATTATAAATAACGAAATTCTTCTCCAAAGTACAAGTATTTTAATAAAAATCAAAAAAATTCTTGTTCTAATTTCAATTATTTTCAAAAATAAAATCCATTTTTCTAATTTCGATGATTTTTAATATCTATACCATTTAATAAAATTTCCCAAAAAGAATCCAATTATTTTTAATAATTTTTAAATAAAATTGTATGCAAACATTTAATTATTTTTGTAAATAATAAAAATTTCATATACGAATTCAATTATTTCCATAAATAAGATTTTTTTCAGAAATTCAATTATTATTTTCATATGAAAAATAATTTAAAATCCTATAGGAAAATAATAATTGAATTAAAAATGATAAAAATAATTTCGATGAAGTTACAGTAAAAAAAAAAAAAAAATTATTAATTAATTATTCTTGTTTATTAATTTAAAAAATTTCAATAAAATTCTTTGCAAGTATTAAATTATTTTTAAAAATAGTAATAGTTTTTGCAAAAATTCAATTATTTTCAAAAAAATTTCACGAAAGAATTCAATTCTTTTTATTTAAATTCGTTACAAAAATTTAATTACATTAAAAAAAAAATTTCATGAAAGAATTCAATTATTTTCAAAAATTTTAATAAATCCTTCGTAATAATCCAATTTGTCTTATTAATTGTAAAATTTTCTTCAAAAAATTTTATTATTTTCAACAAAATTACAAATAATTGAAGAAATTCAATTATTTAAAATTCTTCTTATAAAATTCAATTATGTTCAAAATTTGAAAAAAAATTTTGTAAAAATCCCAATTATCTTTATAATTAACAAAATTCTTTTTAAATAAAATTGTATGCAAACATTTAATTATTTTCATAAATAATAAAAATTTCACAGGAATTCAATTATTTTCATAAATATAATAAAAATTTTACAGGAATTCAATTATTTTCATAAATAATAAAAATTTCACACGAATTCAATTATTTTCATAAATAATAAATTGTATTAAGGATTTCAATTATTATTTTCATAAAAAATAATTTAAAATTCTAGAAAATAATATTTGAATTAAAATGATGAAAATAATTTCGATGAAGTTACAGTAACATTAAATTCTTTTGAAGAATTTCTTTGAATTTTTTTTAAACTAATGGAGTTTATTTAATAATTTTAATTGGAAATTTCGAAAGCAATTGAATTTTATGAAAAAGAATTTTATTGAAAGTGAATTGAAAATAATTGAATTCCTGAAAAGAATTTTACAATTTATAAATATATTTGAATTTTTTCGAAGAATTTATTAAAATTTTAAGACATATAAATGAAATTTATGGAAATATTTAAAAATATTTGAATTCATCCGAGGAATTCAATTAAAACCGTTTTGAAAATAATTGAATTCCTTTAAAGAATTTTACTATTTATAAAAATAATTGAATTATTGCGAAGAATTTTACTATTTTTATCAAAATAATCCAATAAATGTTTCGAGGAATTTATTAAAAATTTTAAGAAATAATTAAATTGTTATATGAAGAATTTTATAGACATATTTGAAAATAATGAAATTTTTTCGAGAAATTCAATTAAAGTTGTTTCGAAAATAATTGAATTCATCACAAGAATTTCATTTTTTTTTTTTAATAATTGAATTCATTCAATTTTTTTGACGAATATATTTAATAATTGCATTGAAAAGTAATTTAATTTTTATATTAGCCTTTTTTTGAAAAATATTTTGAGAATAATTCAATTATTTTTAGAGAATTTTAATTTCTTGTTGAAATTGCATTCTACGGAAATTTTTGAAAATAATTAAATTCTTTCATGTAACTTTATTTAAATTTGATTAAAAATAATTTAATTCCTGCAAAGAATTTTTATATTTATAAAAATAGTTGAACTGTTTTGAAGAATTTATTAAAATTTTAGGAAATAATTAAAATTTATGGAAATATTTAAAAATATTTGAATTCATCCGAGGAATTCAGTTAGAATTGTTTTGAAAACAATTGAATTTTTTGAATTTTACTATTTATAAAAATAATTAAATTGTTTAGAAGGATTTATTAGTTGTTTCATAAAGATTTTTTTCTTGTATGAAAAAGTGATACGTTTCGTACAAAGGAAGTCCTTTTTTTCCTATATATTGCAATCGAAAAAAAAATTATTCCAAATGTTGCTTTCTCTATCTAAAAATGTTATAAATAGAGAATAGAAAAATATACCGAAAATGAGAAAAACTAGTATATGTATTTAACAAAGAAAGAACCCCGCGTGTCGGAAATGCATTTCAAGTGGAATTTTTTCAAATAATATACTTAAATATACAACATATATTAGTGTTGTACAGTCAAGTACCCAGAAGACGCTCTTGTTTTCACAAGAAGCCAAAAAAGAGTCGAGAGAGAAGGAGAGGAAAAATACAAAAGTTGTGTGTCGGCTCTGAAGCCTAAAATAATTTCTGCTGACCATATTTTCCAATCTTTTTTGGCGCAACATTTCTTCCACACACTTTCTTTCCTTTCGGTTATATTAGTTATAATATAGAACAAGGATGTCGTTTGTTTTGCGTGTATATACATAAAATAGCCTTCAACTCTCA